ATCCTTTGTGTAGCAGTTGCTATTGGTATATGCCGTCAGGTTGGCTCTGACTAAAGTCCACCAGAGCCAGTTGGCCTGACTGTGACTACTGTGCCCATCCATTGAGGATCTCCCTCACCAAACATGGGGTTCCCTTCCAGGGACCGATGAATTCATCCCTCCCAGTGAGGTGTCCAAAGGACATGAAAAGAACACAGTTCTGCTTATCATTCAATAAAGTTTTATTGGCTATCTTTTATTGTCTCCCTCACTTTGGACCTTCACTGAAATGTGTCTGCCATGGTGACCCTGCAGGCATTTGAAATACCAGTGGCATCGTTTCCAGCAGGCTAGCAATATGTAGGCCACCATGGGACAATAAACTGGCAGACTGGTAGTGGCTTTGTAGATTCTTTTAAAACAAACAAACAAACAAACAAACAAACAAACAAACAAACAAACAGCAAAGGGTATGTGTTGGGCAGGTGGGAGCATTATCCAGGCCCACGAGGTTTGACAGGTTGTTCACAGGCCTCCTATCAGGGTTTATGACTTCTGTCCTCTGCATTTGTCTAGAGGTCAAAGGCAGCCAAGCCAGAAAGTGTCTTCTCTAATAGCCATGGTGGTCACTGTTGAAACCAACGAGACAACTTCAGAGAGTCACTTAGTGAGTTGTCCTTCGAGAGGACCTGCCGGTTCACCAAGTTGCATGGGAAATGGACACAATGCACCTGCAGGCTGATTCCTGAAGGAAGGGCCTGACCGAGGAATGAGAGGAGACCGTCAGGAGTGATTATGAGCATGGAGCTCAGAGTTAACAAGGCCTGGGCTCTAAGCTCCTTCCTTTTCTTACTGGGTGGCCTCCCTCAGAGGGCTGTTGAGACTCATCACAAGGTACTTCACTTAAAGGTGCAATCTCAGTGACTGCCTGTAAAAGAGGGTGGTTGTCCTTGTTATCAGATGACAAAGTATTTGAGGCTGTGGTATTTGTCTCCTCAACTTGCTCAGCTGGCCTGCCCCTTGTGCTGAACCCTTTCCTGGGTGTTGCAGAAAGAACACTCCGAGCACGGTCCCTGGCTGTGAAGGAGCAGTCTAACGAGGGAGCCAGTGAAAACCGATCATCAGAACGAATAAAGAATTTCTTGACAAAAGGAATTGTGTGTATGTCCCCTTATACAGTATGTTGTAAATCCTAACCTAGATCCAGTGGTCATAAGCCCGTTTGAGAAGGTATTTTCTCTGTTATGTAACCAAGACTGAGACTGGGTAGGGCATTCCTTAAGCCCATCTCTTTGGAGACATCAAGCAAGAGAGCAAGCAGAGAGGGAGGGAGATAGAGGCCAAGCTAAGGAGACAAAGACCTTCCTCAGTCCCCCAACAGAGAGACCTCAAGCCTCCCCTTTGGGTTGGCACCCCAAATTAGGGCCTCTTGCCTCCTAAACTGTAAGAAAACCAATCTCTGTTAAAAATACCTATTTGTGGTATTTCTATTATAATAGCACTAAATAGCTAAGACAATGCAAATATTCAAAACTATGGTGGATTCCATAGGCTTAATGTTAGTCCCAGGAAAATTCTAGAGTGGATGATTCAGCCGCCAGTTTGTCAGCAGCTGGAGAAGGAAGCAGGGGACATCCAGACTCAGCTGACTTCCTTAGCTCCGGGCATTGCCCGCACGTTGAATGACTCCTTGTTGGCCAGGCACTGGACAAGGTATTGGCCTGAAACCTAGTGTTCCTGCCCTCAGGGAGCAAGGGCAACCCAAGCAAACTGGGAAGAAAGGACTGGTGAGGTGCTTCTGAGAATCAGCCAGGGAAAACCCTGCGGGTCGCAATAGTCTCATCCACAATCAGTCACAGGAGTGGCGCCAATGAGCAGGAGGTCACCAGGTATTGGGGGCCACAGTAACAAACAGCAAGGAGGAACAACTACCAGGAAAGGGTTTGGGTCAGACGAAAGACCAGGGCTACAGGTCTGATGGCGACCAGCGGAACTCTTAAAGGGCTGTGTGTTGGTCACCCTCAGGTCTGCAGTTGAATTCACCTCCACGCCTCAATGTTCAGTCAAACAATAGACGGGTCTAGGAGGGGAACAATAGCAACAGCCGCAGCATGTATCTTAGAACAATCAACCATTTTCAATCAAGGGGGCAGCATTTGCCCAAGGTCAAAGTTCAGGAAGGTCGGGAAAGAAGGAGGCTGGGAATCCAGATAGGACAAGGATGACCGATGTCACATTGAGGGGACTACAAGGAATGAGATGAAGCAAAATAGGAATTGTTTAATGTAAATTCACAATAAGAAGTGTTTTTTTTTTTAATGTCCAATATCCAGACAGACATTGGGCCTCCACTCAAGTACTTCCTCAACGTGTGCCCAGCTATCAAAAGATATAGCATCTGGGGTCTTAAGGGCTTGAAGATAAACAAGCAGTCATCTAGCTGAGAAGCAACGAAGCCCATATGGAAGAAATACACCAGCCTGTGTGATCACGAGGTGTCAATGGTATCAGGTATCAGGCATCAAAGACCCAGAAGGAAAAATCATATCAATGTGAATGAGGGGAGTGCGGAGTGGAGACCCAAAGCCCGTCTGTAGACAATTGGACATCCCCTTACAGAAGGGTCACAAGGATGAGATGAGCCAGTCAGGGTGCAGTATAGCGTCGTTGAAACATACAACTCTCTTCTAGTTTTTTAATGTTTCCTCCCCCCCCTGCCACTATCATGACCTCAATTCTACCCTATAAATCTGGCTAGACCAGAGCATGTACACTGGTAAAGATAAGAGCTGGAAACACAGGGAATCCAGGAAAGATAAGCCCCTCAGGACCAATAATGAGAGTAGCAATACCAGGAGGATAAGGGGAAGGTTTTGGGGGAGAAAGGGGGGAGCCGATCACAATGATCTACATATCAATCCTTCTCAGGGGGGACGGACAACAGAAAAGTGGGTGAAGGTAGACAGCGGTCGGTGTAAGACATGAAACCAAATTTTAATACATTCTCAAGGGTTCATGAGGGAGGGAGGGAGGGGAAGGGGAAAATGAGGAGCTGAAATAAAGAGCTCAAGCAGAAAGAAAATGTTTTAAAAATGATGGCAACAAATGTACACATGTGCTTGATACAATGGATGTATGTATGGATTGCGATAAGAACCGTAAGAACCTCCAATAAAGTGATAAAAAAAATAAAAGAACTGGTTAAACAGCATAGCTAGAATTTGAACATAGGCTTCATTGATTTCAAAGTCCATTCCATTGAGGCATGCTGTTCTGGACAAAAAATTTAGATAGAAGATATAATGAAAATTGACTGCTGTATTTTATCATAAACTTGAACATGAAACTAAAAAAAACCAAAAAGGAATATTGAGTGTTAGGATAACAATCCACAAATCATTGCTTTCTCCTTTCCTTGGCCTGAGGAGTGGATCAGCTTTGTTTTGCCTTTCTCATCCCTGCAGTCCGTTGGGATTGGTGGTGGGGGGTGTGTGGGGTGGGGTGACTACTGAGTCATGGCGACCGCATGGACAACCGAATAAAATGCTGTTCGGTCCTGTGTTCTCTTCACGATTGCTGGTGGTTCCAGGCCACTGCGGTTGCTGCTGTGCATTTTGGAGGAGGGGCTCATCTTCTAGCATCATAGCAGACAATATTCCGTTGTCATCCATGGGGTTTCCGTTGGCTACTCTTTGGAAGTGGAACCTACATATTTTTTCCCTCATCTTTTTTCATCTGAGAACTCCACTAAAGTCTGCCCACCATGAATAGCCCTTCTAGTATTTGAAATACTGGTGACATAACCTCCTGCCTCATAGCAAATGCAAGCCACCATAGTATGACAAACTGACAGATGAATGGTGACCTCTTAGAATAGAGGTCTACTCGTCGGTCCAGTCGCTCCGCTCCTCCTCCCAGTGGCCGGAGCAGGCTCCGTTGTGCCGTAGCCCTGGCCAGTGCTGTGATCCGGGCAGAGCTCTCCCCATCCTACCAGGAGGAAGACGAAGGGGATGGCGCTGACTTGCTTGTGCCCCTTTGTTTCTCCAGCTGAATGAGGGGTTGGACCAGGGGGTTGAGAACTCTGAGCAAGCAGAGGAGCGGGCCAAGAAGCCGGTCAAAATCGAGGGTGTCGTGCCAGCCCTAGACAGCGAGTCTGCCGCTAGCAGCATCCGCTTCAGCAAGGCCTGCCTGAAGAACGTCTTCTCCATCCTCCTCATCTTCATCTACCTGCTGCTCGTGGCCGTGGCTGTCTTCCTGGTCTACCAGACCATCACGGACTTCCGTGAGAAACTCAAGCACCCTGTCATGTCCGCGTCTTACAAGGAGGTGGACCGCTATGATGCCCCAGGTATTGCGCTGTGCCCTGGCCAGGCTCAGTCGCTCAGCTGTAAGCACCACTATGAGGTCTTTCCTCCTCTGAGGAGTCCCGGCCAGCCGGGAGACATGAACTGTACCACCCAGAGGATCAACTACACAGACCCTTTCTCCAATCAGACAGTGAAGTCTGCCCTGGCTGTCCGGGGCCCGCGGGAAGTGAAGGAGTGGGAGCTGGTCTTCCTGCAGTTCTGCCTGAACGAGAGCAGCGAGGACTTTAGTGCCATCAACTACCTGCTCTTCTCCTCTTACCACGAGTTCCTGCAGAGCCCAGACAAGGCGGGCTTCATGCAGTCCTGTGAGAGTGCCTATTCCAGCTGCAAGTTCTCTGGGGGCTTCCGCACCTGGGTCAAGATGTCACTGGTGGAGGCCAAGGAGGAGGATGGGCGGGAAGCAGTGGAGTTCTGGCAGGAGACGAGTGTGGTGAACTATATTGACCAGAGGCCAGCTGCTGAAAGAAGCGCTCAGTTGTTAATTGTGGTCTTTGACTGGAAGGATCCTTTCATCCAGAAAGTCCAAGATACATATCATCACTGCTAATCCTTGGAACACCACTGCTTTTCTCTGTGGGGTCTTTTTGGCATTATGCAAAGCAGCAGAATTTGCCACACTGAGTGTGAAATGGATGATCAAAATTCGTAGGAGATACCACAAAAGAAGGGGCCAGACAACAAACCACATAAGCTGAGGCCACCAGTGTTGCTCCCAGAACTGTCCAAGGGAGTGCAAATTTTTGGGACTTCTGCTCTGCTGAATTGAGCCACCAGCACTCACCCCTGCTGCCACTGGAAGCAGTGGGGCCTTGCTGTGAGCTACCAACCACCTGCCACACTGGCACTTCCAACCTGGCCCTGAGGCTGTGCAGAGATTGCTGGAACACAGCAAATGAGTAACCTCTGTTATTTAAGTAGTTAAATTATTAATGAACATTTCTAAAAGGCGATGTATGGATAGGTTTTGTGGAAGGTGGACTAGCTCTTCATATTTTCCGAGTCACTCAGCTGTAGGAGACACCTCACTTCCCGTGTGCTCTGGTGCACAGCAGAGCCTGTTGTGGGTTAACTAATGTCTTCTGTTCTATCTCGGGCGGCCCCCTGAGGTTTTTTATGGGGCCAGGACAGAGTGCTATTCTTTTATCCAAAATGTTTGGACTATCCAGACGTGTGGGCCATGCTTTGTAATGCATATGCTGTAAATGAAGCAAGGCAAAACCCTCATGTCTCCGGTGTCACCTGCCATCTGCATCCCCCAGCCTCGGGCTTGTTTTCTCATGGGCTAAGTCAGACGTGAAAAAAAAAAAAATCTACTTGAAACTAGTAATTTGTGGCTTACCCAATTCTTTGCCTGGTTAGAGCTTTTCTTATGGACAGAGGGATGAAACAGAGTGATCAACACCTTAAAGCACTTAGGATCGATGTACATAGTAGGTGCCTCACTTGAACATCTTGATGATTTTGTGAACAGGTAGGAAGAAGCCAGGCTGGTGCAAAAAGAATCAGGCGCTGACTCAGTAGGCACTGGTGCTCATTCATTTTGTGGCCTCCAGTAACAGCAGGTAGCCTGAGCCTAGACTCCCAAGATACATGAAGGTTCGATTGTAACTGCATATAGAATGGGTTGGGCCTGGTAGTGGGTGGCGGTGATCAAGAGGAATCCATTGGGCCCTAGGGGTGAGCTGTGCATATCCTACACAACCCGTCTGAGAAATGGTGTGTTTGATAGGATGAGTGGTTAAAAAAAAACCGTTTTCCCCCTCACATGGTAGCTACTGGCTGACGTAAGGTTATAAAACTTGTTGAGTTTTAATTTATATGTCCTTTGCATCCAAGGGGACCTGGCATCACCTCTTGAATTCCCTAATCTGCTCTACATGCTCGCAAGAAATAAACTTCAAAAGTGTGTAAGGTTCTTTTTAATCTCATGTCTAACCTAGCTTGAAATTGTGTTCACGTGTGTTAACAATTAAAAGCAAACTATAGACAAATATTCCCTGCTACTTTTCTGCTCCACAGAAGCATGAAATCAAACTTTAGCCAAAGGCTCTTCTTTAGAAAAGCTCCCTGTAGGGCAGATGCAGAGCCAGGGCATAATCTTTATTTTATTGAGATTTAAGAACTTAGATTAACAGTATTGAACAAACATGTGTGTGCATTTTGGGGGGGGGTGTCCCCCCAGTACAGGTGGCCCCGTCTTAAGATGTAGTCTAGTTACAATGAGCCCCCTTACTGGCATGTTTTATTTTGAAGCAGACACAGCTTACTGTCAGCAGTGTGCGCCCATGCTGTAGTGCGTAATGGGGCAATCATCCCTCCCACGTCTACTTGCAGGTGTTCAACTCTATGGTTCACTGTCCACAACGGCTGTAGAGCAGACTATAGAAATGTTTTAAAAATGTGGGTTTTCTTCCCTTCAACTGTAGATATAAATCAGGGACTACTTGTATCTCTAAAGATGACAAACCACTTTAATGTCACTTACATGTTCTAATAAATATGCTCCAACAAACATGCTAAACTTTTTGAATTCTGGCAAGTGGAGTGTCCTTGTAAATGTGCTTTAGGATAACTAGATTTCAACATAAATGGACATTCTTAGTTATTCAAATGGGAAAATAAAACTTAAAAAAAAAAAAAGAAAAGAATACAGGTCTACTTTGGCTGCAAGTCCTTGGGGGAAGCAAAGGTCCTCGATTGCTATGTCCAGTCAAGCTGGTCCTTGTTCCTGGACAGAAACTGTCGAAACTGTGTTGGAGGGGCATTTCCCATCAATAGCCACAGTAATTCAGGAAAATTGCCATGCTAGCCTCCATGAGTCAGGCTCATGTGAGTCAGGTAGCAGCGGAATGGTGGGAAGGGCTCCCTGCCCTCTGACTCAGGCTGAGGAAGAGGCGGCTGGTGCTCTGGAGGCTTAAGGTGGCTCAGTGATCTCAGTCAGATGGGGGAGGTAGAGGGTCCATTGGGCCATCTGGATGTCTTGTGCTATTCGCATGTCCATTGGCATATCTGAGTCCGTTGGTCCAGCATGATGTCCTTTCTTAGGGATTGGTCTTTGCAAAGTTGATGATATTGATTTGAATCTGCTGTTTGAGGTGGGCAGGATGACTTTCCGGCAAGGCACCTTCTCCTGTGATTGCACATGAACAGAAATCCAGAAACCTAGATGTGTTAGACCATTGACTAGAGAAACACATCAGTGACACTCATACATATGTAAGAAAGAGCTTCATATCAAGAAGTAATTGTATGTCAAGAAAACATCCCAGCCCAGTCCATTGCAAGTCCATAAGTCTGATACTAGCCCTTTACTAGTCCACAAGTCCCTCTTCAGACTCACACAATCACATGCAGTGATGCAGAATGCAGGAAGATCACAGGCTGGTGGGTGCAAAGTCTTGTGGATCCAATGGCAGTGGACGCATTTCCAGGACTCTGGCAGGTCTCAGAGTGGCCGGCATGAAAGTGAAGGCAGAGAGAGAGAGGGAGGTTGCCAGGACCTTCCTTACGAGAAGCTCACACACCCAAGAAGGCACCATCAGGCTGTGACCCGATTGACAGGTGAGGCTCCACCCCTACACTTTTTTATCTTCAAGTTAACATGAAATTGTGTAACAAGCACACTAGATGACATTTCCAGCCCCTCGTCTTGCATATCAGGAAGCTGAGGGCTGTGAGGGCTGGAGAAGGGTCTTCAGGCTACCCGAGTGATTTAATATCAGAGTAGTCCTAACAGCCTGATCACAGTCAGCGTGATGTTCACTCCCCAAGAACCCCCATTATCAACGAGGCACCAAACCCATGGAGTAAATGAGAGTGTTTACTATATGCTGGGCACTGGTAAGACTGGGCAGGGGAACAAAAGTAGAAACCTGGACCAGAGACTGTTTCTCTTGTAAAACTGAATGGATGGGGCCTCAGAGAAATCGCGGTTGTAGAGCCTTCTGTCTTAACGAACACGTTAGGCTATTTTAAATAGAACCAGCACTGTCTTGTCCTTGGGACTCCATACCCCTTACTACCCATTGCCATCTAATGGGAACTGGAGTTCCCAGAAAGGACTACATTTCCCAGGTCCTTTGCACCAAATGCCATCTAGTGGGAACAGAGTCTGTATAGACCTACAGGGCAGGGTAGAACTTCCCGGTGAGTTTCTGAGACGGTAACTCTTTATGGGAATAGAAAGCCCCATTTTTCTCCCTCAGAATGGCTGGTGTTTTGAACTACTGACCTTTGGCATCACAATCCAACGTTTAAACACTATGCCACCAGGGCGCCTTTCCTTACTCTTAGGCCAGTGGTTCTCAACCTTCTTCAGGCTGCCACCCTTTCATACAGTTCCTCATGTGGTGGTGACCCCCCCAACCATAAAATTATTTTTGTTGCTACTTCATAACTGTAATTTTGCTTTTGCTATGAATCGGGCGACCCCCGTGAAAGGGTTGTTCGACCCCCAACGGGGTCATGACCTATAGCTTGAGAACCGCTGTCTTAGGTGCTTCTAATAAAATTTTCCAGCATTGCCTAACCAGAGAAAAGTTTTCTCTTGGTAAAGACAAGAACCTAATTTGAGTAACACAGTTCTAAGCATTAAATCACTTAATTCTCAGGACAAGCCAAGGAGAGAGATACTACTGTCATCTCCATTTTAAAGATGAGAAATGGAGGCAGACAGCAATTAATAAGTGGCAGGGCCATGTTATAAATGCAGGTAATTTTTCTGAAGGAGCCCTGGTGTCACAGCAGTTAAGCACTTGGATGTTCACCCACAGGATGGCAGTTCGAATCCATCCAGCCGCTCTGTGTGAGCAGGACCCAGGACCTGCTTCTGTAAGATTCCAGCCACACAAGCCCTCTGGGGCAGCTGTGCAGTGTCCGATGAGGTCATTATGAGCTGAAGATCAGCTTGACTCAGCAATAGCAGCCACAGGAGCTTCAAACAAAATCCTTGTTCTTAAGCACCGTGCTAGGTAGGGTCTGATACACACCTCACCCATTTATTGCAGTAAAAGCTCTGTGACTGTTTGTATTTTTTTTTTAAAGATCATTTATTTTTGTTGCATTTGAGAACATACAGAGCAGCACAGACAACAATTTCTACATGCACCGTTCAGCGATGCCTGCTTCGAAGAGGACGTTCTCCAGGCTGGGCAAGCGTTCGGACCCCTTTCCTAACTTGTTCCTCTCTCAAACGCAAGCTTGCTGCCCTGGCTTTCACATGGAATCTTAGAAGTTGCTGTTGTCAGCTGGGTCTCATATAGCACCATTTTCCCAGGCAGACATTCTTTATTAGACTCACCTGTTTTGTAAGGCTATTTCATTGCTTGTTGTTGTTGATGTATGCACAGCAAAACAGATACCAATTCAACCGTGTCTGCACCTCTAATTCCATGATGTTGGTCATAGTCTTGGGGTTAGGCAACCATTCACACCCTCCATTTCTGATTGTTCCTTCCTCATTCACATCAACTCACCGCCTCCAATATTAGGGGGCTGGGGGCTGGGGTGGGGATGCCATCATCGTTAAAATCCATTTTCCAAAGAGCTTTCTGAAGTCCTATCATATTTTAAGTTTCTGTTGTCACTTTGAGTCCATGGAGATATTTATTTTAAAAAGCATAATGCTTTATCACTACTTACGCAGAGCGTGTAAGCTCCGTGCAGCTGAGTCAGCTGATGATCGAACACTGCGGAG